CTTACTTGCTCGATGGTTAAATATTCCTCTGGAAAGATCAAATTCAAATTAAAATATGTACCAGCGATTCTCGAGGAAAATATGTATGTGTACAAATTTAGAGACGATAGATCGATGCATCAGCTTGGTTCGAATTAGCGATGGCGATACATTTGAATCGTATCGGTATTTGGTATCGATACGTATTAATATCCAGAGGATCGATACACGTGTATATCGGGAATAAAATCTCGGTATTAATACTTGCAATTAAATTAGAAGTAACAAAATCCAAAAACGAAAATAAATCATTTATTGAAGCAGATATTTATTCAGGCAGATTCTCAGGTAACAGCGTGAAAAAGAAATCGATTCATTGCAAACTTTATGGGAAGCTCGCGATTAGTCCATTTTCCTTACAACAAATGCAACGATCCTATCGAAATTTCGATATCTACGGGTTACGTACCGATACTCGAATACATCGTGACAGGAAATATCGACACAGAATATCGTCATTTGAATGGAAAACTATAGAGATATTCAAAAAATTGACACCTACTGTATCGCCCGTCACTAATTCGAATATCGAAGCTGAACTCAACTTGGTTCTGTTTTTTTTTTTTTTCAATAACTATGTGGATACTTCTATGAGTGGAATGACGCCCGTAAATAGTAATCAGAAAGTTTTATGGCGATGCAAACGTGTCGTTTTTGTTCGCGGGTTTTCCCACGTGAGTCGGAACTCGAAGTTGATTACCACACCCGGTGTGGACGGTCGGATTCGCGCGAGACCAGCGGCAGTGTTCGCTCTCTGGTACGAAATCATAGTCGCGACGTAATTAGTACGAACTCGTACGACCGTGTCCCCGCGAAAATGATGCCCACGGTAAGCGAATTCCCATGATTTATGCGAATAGAGGCCCCCGGTTCGCGATTGCATCGGGTTAGGTGTAATTGGTTATGGTTAGTTACAGTGAGGTTTCACCGTGAGTTCGCGAAACCGTGCAGCCACGCCCACGATTATTTCGCGAAACATACAAATTCTCCAGCCATTTCTTTCCTAAAAAAAAACCGGACAACATTTCATGGATGATCCTGTCTCTCCTCGATCGATCGTTCCAAGTGAAAACATGCGTCGAATAATCTCGAGGTAATCCCTGAAAGCCTTTCGCGTCGATACACGTTTTCGAAACCGGAGAATCTATTTCCGAAGCGGCGCGTACGAGGTGCATTTTCCTCGGAAATCGCCGCTAAGAATAGCCAATTTATTGTCCGTTTCTCGATTCTGTCCTTTCTTTCATTCTTCGGGGAACTTCTCTCGTCGATTTCAAGTCGTCAAGTGGTCACACGATAGAATCGTAAACTCCGAAGGGTTTTGTCGAAGATGGAGAACGAGAATCAGAATAAAATTGACCCCTCCTCCCTTCGATCGATTGGTAATCGAGTGAAGTCACTGGTTTATCAATTTTACTGATTTTCACAGCGCACCATCGCGCTCCATCCTCGGTCGCGATTTAATTTCTGCCGTGGGATTCCCAGCGCTATTAAATTATTGCGGCGACATCGAAAGGGGAAGCGAGTCTCGTCTCGAAACGTCTGGCGCGCGATAATTCACGTTTCGTCTACGCCCAGTGATCGATCATCCACGGAGAAACTGTTAAATCAACGGCGGTGGTTCGGAGGTCAATCTGAGCTGCTGAAAGTTCGTGGTGAAAAATCATTTGTCGCTTAAAGGATCGAATAAATGCTTCATCGAGTTTTTCTGTCTGGTTCAGTTCAGTCGAGATGAAAATTTCAGGTACATCGATGGAAAAAGGAATTTTCCGATCGACGACAGTATCTTTTCACGCGATCGCTATCCACAACCGATACACCGGGAACAACCTGCCCTCCCTGCCCTTGTCTTGCACGCCTCGTCGAGCACGAATACGTGCCATAGATCGCGCTAAGAAGTGCACGAGCCTCGATTGAAATTGACATCTATTTGTCAAGGCCTGTTTAGCTGGCAGCTCGAGAGACTCGCGAGGGTTGCGCGCTTTGTTGCTGAAAAGCTACTAGTGCGCTCGCGATCGCGCTCCAGCCAGCTTCTTCGTTCTATCTTCCCATTGACACTTAACACATTCGTAACCGGCAACGGAGTTCTACGTAATTTTAAAGTCTTCAGCTGAGTATCGGTAACGTCGTTCTACGTTATTTCAAAATCTCTAGCATTCATCACCCGTTTCTCTTTAGCAAGATGATCATAATCTTGATTTAAAATTTCTGTTACATTAGATATTCTCTTTATATGATAATTAACTAACGTTATTTAACGATTGGAAAACATGAATTTCAACCCGTTATACTTCTAAATAACAGAACTCTGCAGTATTTAGTTATATACTTTTGAAAATTGTACGCGGTATTCACCTAACCAGAGTCTTGCCTCAAAACCGCCGGTTGCGATTGTGTTAACACACGAATGCCATAAAATTCACGGTCTACTTATATACATCCGTATCCGCGAAGTGTCGTGTGACGTTTATTGTTTCGATCTGAACTGGATCGGGAATATTTGCAAAGTGGAACTCTTAACAGCTATAATATTCTATAGTGTTCCGTGCTTAAAGTCCTTTTAATAGAAGTCGACGAGGTTCTTGCCTGGCGTCGCATTTAACGAGCTGAAAATGTACGTCGGTGATGCGATCGCACGTTCGCGAAACATGAAATCAGCGTTTCGCGAAAGGGAGTTCTGATAATTTGATTATCCGGTGATGTCGACGAAGAACGCGTTTTAAAACGTGATTACTAACGGCCGTGCTCTCTCTCTCTCTCTCTCTCTCTCTCTCTCTCTCTCGCGATTAGATTATTTATCGCGGCCACGCGCAGCGAGCAAAGTTCGAGAAGAATAAAAAAAATAGACACTACCCCGCCGTCAGGGAACAGATAGCGTCGACCATGGCAAAGGTGAAAATGTGAATGCATTTTATGGAATATTTCTCTCGAAACTAATAACTATGCGTTAGCCATCTTGCGTGTCCTCGTCTGGCCAGCGTATGAGCACCGACATATGTACTAGTAGTTGCTTTATTTCGGCCTCTTCGACTTAGGAATGGATTCGGCTTACAATTCCTTATACGCACATCTTTCCATACTTTTTATAGCACATGCTAATTACACATTAACCTACCTAACATTTCTCTTACCCTACCCTATTCTAATACACCTAACTCTAACTCTAACTTCGGTATTTTTTATTACCTTTTTGCTTTCCACTTCTCTTAACCAGTTAACTAACTTCTCTCAATATCTTTCCTTTGCTACAGTTTCCCAGTCTCCTCTCAACCTTCCAAACTCCCCTACACTTTTCTTTATATACCTCACATTTTCTTTTCTTTTCTTTCATCCCAAATCTACTCGCTTCCTCCATATTTCCTGTTCTCACCCTTGCTATCTGATGCGGCGTACTTGTGATAAGCTCGCGATTAGTCACTGCTTGTTGGAAAATTAATACCGCGGAACTCGTTGGAAAAATGGTGTGATTGTGCGTGTGGTGATATGTGTTTTAAATGATTTGGCACAACTTAGTAACACGCTTAGACTTTAATATAAACTTAACACTGTGATGTATTTGTTTGTGTGTATGTACTGGTTGTCTTCTGACAGGTCGATGTGTTCTTGTTGACGGTTGAATGTGTTCTGGTGAATGAGTGAATGTATAGATTCTTACTGGAACGGATCGACTCGTGATTAGTGGAAAATGCAGAATTTTTGTTGGTGTAGCTGGTTCAAGAGGTGGTAGTATGAGTTGAAAGAAATGGGGTTTGGTGTATGTATTGTTTCTAGGATTCCTGGAAGTCAACGCCGAAATATAATAAGGAACGGTCTTGATTAACCTAACCCAGACCATCGCCTACCTGCGTTGGGTTGCAGCACTATCAATATCTGGTTATCTCCTCCTCTTTGTTTTCGTAAATACTCTGGGATGAGAACCGACGTACTATCGAATTTTCATTTTTGCGTGTCTCGACTAATAGCAGACAGGTTGCATGCAACGTGGTCGAAATCTCGAAAACGTATCCTCTCGAAGACACCCTCTCCGTGAAAATAGAGTGTTTCATCCGGGTACCTTTGATCGGGCGCTCTCTCGCGACGAAAGGGAGGGGAGGGGGCGGCAGTGAACGTGGGCGAAACAAACGTATCATTGACATCCCCTTTTTGATACCCCGTTTTCCACCTTCCTCTTTGGACGTGCTTTGACGGCGCGGCGATCAAAGGCTCGTTTCACGGGTACCCCGTTCTCAAAGAACAGACGATGAACGTCCTTTTCGGGCGTGCATTACGTACACGGGTTGCAGCGACGGTGAGCTTTGTCGATTCACAATGCGTACGAGTTGCGTGCTCGGTCAAATGAGAATGCCAGTGCCGTATAAGCGAGCTCGATGGAACCGTAAACGTCGAAACTCTACCCCCCCCCCCCTGCGCGACCCAAGCACTAGATTCTCCAGCTGAATCTTCAGCTTCCACGGTTTTCTGGATATATATTCAGAGAAAGGTCAAGATTCCGTCAGTTTGAACAACGACAAGACCCCCACTTCGAACAATGGTAGATTCGTAAACTATTAAAAGAGAGTAGGTTGGAGGAAAGCTAAGGGTCGGTAGTTGGAGGAAGTAGAAGGAAAATATCGGGGTCGTACGAGTTGGAGAAGCAAAGGAAAAAGCTTCGTTTGAGAGGAAGATCGCCGCGGCGCTTACAGTTAAAAAATTCAGGGGGAAAGAAACTTCTCTAACTTGTTGAAACTCGGAGAAACTTCGACTTTACCGTAGTTACGCCCCGACGAACGCATTCCCTGGGAGAGACGTTCGTCGAGAAAACGAAAACATTCCCTTGCTACATAGCTTCGAACTTAAGATCGAGAAGTTTCTGTTTTTTTTTTTTAAACGATAATTCTTTCAGAGAACGAGAGAACGATACCTACTCGCGGTCTCGAGGACAGTCGAGCGTGTAATAATTCGAAATCGTCTTTTTTTCTGTGCAGTGGGAGAGTTCGGAATCCGAGTGTTCAGAGGCGGAGGACTCAAATGAGTTAGGGGCCATCGTCAGCCCCGAGATCAGTGCGATGGACACTGTGGACAGTGCCAGCAAGCGGCAAGCTACTCGTGTCTTCAAAAAGTCGACCCTCAATGGAAATATCACGGTGTATCTGGCGAAACGAGATTTCGTCGATCACATAACCCATGTCGATCCTATCGGTAAGTAGAAAATGTGGTCCGGCTATGAACAATAGGCAAGATCTTGGCCGGCCGATTCTAACGGCTCAATGCGACCTGTGATCACGGAAAAAGCAGTACATGCTACTTTTCGGCCTTAACACACGGGCGTTACGTAACGAAGCGTCACACCGCGTTCGCCTCGCGGGTGGTTAATCCTGAATGTCGCGTATAGAGTCCGTCGCGTCCATTGAGGTGATCCCATTCAGACGCGTTCATTTAACGCCCGATGAATCAATGGGTCGGTTCGAAAGTCCCCCCCCCCCC